TAGCCTATCAGGTCTCATCAGGACTGGCTGCATTGTCTTCCTCTGTGGCCTGATAAGGCTGCTCCCCAATCAGAGGGAGATGATCAAAAGCCAGCCACTGAGTTCATGTCAGAGACAGTGCCTGTCCCCATTACTAGGGAACCCACTTGGACACTGAGCTGCCATGGGCTACATCTGTGCAGGGGTTCTAGGTCACCTCCATGAATGGTCATTGGAGTATCAGTCTCAGAAAAGACCCCTGTGCCCAGATTTTTTGGTTCTGTTGTTCTCCTTGTGGAGCTCCTGTCCCCTCTAAGTCTTTCTATCTTTCCCTGGCTAGGAGTCTCAGCATCTGCCCCAACACCCTGCAGGGTAGAGTCCCTCTCTGATATAGGCTCCCACTCTGCTTCTTCCCCTCTCCTTCCTCCAAAGTCCAACTCACTTGCACCTCTGAATGAGGACTGAGCATCCCACCCAGGGTACTCTCTATTGATCAGCCTCATCAGGTGTACAGATTCCAGCATGACTATCCCATATTGCATGTTTAATATCTGCCTATCAGTGAGCATATACCATGTGTGTGTCTCTGCCTCTGGGATACCTCACTCAGAATGATCTTTTCTAGTTCCTACCATTTGCCTGCAAATTTCATAATTTCATGATTTGTTTCTAATTGCTGAGTAGTATTCCATTGTGTAAATGTACCACAATTTTTGTATCCATTCTTCAACTGAGGGACATCTGGGTTGTTTTCAGGTTCTGGCTATAACAAACAAATAAAGCTGCTACAAACATGGTTGAACAAATGTCCTTGCTGTTTACATGAGCATATTTGGGTATATGCCTAGGAGTGGTATAGCTGGATCTTGAGGTAGCACTATTCCTAATTGAGAAAGCAGCAGATTGATTTCCAAAGTGGTTGTACAAGTTCACATTCCCACCAGCAATGGAGGAGGGTTCACCTTTCTTTCCATCCTCTCCAGCATGTGTTGTCACTTGAGTTTTTGATCTTAGCCATTCTGATGGATGTAAGGTGAAATCTCAGGGTCATTTTTATTTGCATTTCCCTGACAACTAAGGATGTTGAGCATTTCTTTGTTTCTCTGCCATTCAATATTCCTCTATTGAGAATTCTCTGTTTAGTGCTGTAGCCCATTTTTTAATTGGATTACTTGATTTGTTGCTGTTTAACTTCTTGAGTTCTTTATATATTCTGGATATTAGCCCTCTGTCAGATATAGGATTGGTGAAGATTCTTTCCCAATCTGTAGGCAGTCGTTTTGTTTTGATGACGGTGTCCTTTGCTTTACAGAAGCTTTTCAGTTTCATGATGTCCCATTTATTGATTGTTAATCTTAAAGCCTGTGTTGTTGGTGTTCTGTTCAGGAAGTTGTCTCCTGTGCCAATGATATCAAGGCTCTTCCCCACTTTCTCTTATAACATGTTTAGGGTGTCTGGTTTTATATTGAAGTCTTTGATTTACTTGGACTTTAGTTTTGTGCAGGGTGATAAATATGGATTTATTTGCGTATTTATTTTCTACATGTAGATATCCAGTTAGACCAGCACCATTTGTTGAAATGCTACCTTTTTTCCATTGTTTTGGTATCTTTGTCAAAAATAAGGTGTCCATAAGTGTGTGGGTTTATCTCCGGGTCTTCAATTCGATTCCATTGATCCACCAGCCAGTTTCTATTCCAGTACAATAATACCATGCAGGCTTTTTTTTTTTTTTTTTTTACTGTTGCTCTACAGTACAGCTTGAGATCAGGAATGGAGATAGCTCCAGAAGATCTTTTATTGTAGAGGATTGTTTTAGCGATTCTGGATTTCTTGTTATTCCATATGAAGTTGAGAATTTTTCTTTCAAGGTCTGTAAAGAATTGTGTTGATAATTTGATGGGAATTGTATTGAATCTGTAGATTGCTGTTGGTAGGATGGCCATTTTTACTATGTTAAACAGAGCTTTTAGCTCAAGCTCTGACTTTAACTTAGGTTTCAGCTCCTCAGCTCCCTGGCTTTTTGGGGCTTTGAACTAACAAGCCTCTTGTTCAACCCTCTGGCCTTGGGTGTTTTTGGCCCTTTTCTCCTGGGCTGTCAGTTTTACTAGTGAGCCTTTTGGGGTTTTTCCATCCGGACCTGAGCTGAGAAAGGTCACCTGTGTCCTTTCTCTGCTTCTCTGAGCTAGCAGGTTTTCACCCAGCATCTGTCTCCTGAGTTCTTATTGGTAAAAGAGAATGGTTGAGATTTTCATCATTGTTTATAACAACACCATAAAATCAGACCCTGTCCTGGATGTCTCTACCTACGAGGATGACGATGCTCAGATAGTGACTGCCAGCACTCAACTGGGTCCTCTTGCTTTGACGTCTCCTATCAGCCCTGATGTTTATTGGGCTCAGGGGCAACAGGACTAAGAACAGATACCCTAGCTACTTTCTTTCTGAGACATGTAAGGGTTAAAGTATTTTCATCCAGACGCTGCACTTCTATTACTTCATGTCCTTATTTATAGATTGGTGGGTATGAATACAGTCATTCTGAGAATGAATTCAGCTTTCTGTGGTCAGAACACACTGCTGGCTCTCACAGAGCTGCTTTTCAATCAGACTCCTGGGTCCCAGGAAGCTGAATCACTTTCAGGCCTCATATCTCTGATCTCCTCACTAGATAGTTTGTATTTAAAGCCTAAGCGAATCTTTACATTTCTTTCATCCATGACCTGGCTGGGATTGGGGCTGTATTTGCTGCTCTTCTCATTGCTATGACAAAATAAGGAAGGAAGGGTTTGTCTTGGCTCACAGTTGGAGGGCACTGTCTAGAGCAGAGGCGAAATCCTGGCTGTGGGAGCATAAGGCAGCTGGTCATGCCGCATCAGCCATCAGAGAGACAGGAATGCTGGTGCTTAGGTCACCTTCTTTATATTCAGGCCAGGACCTCAGCCCACGGACTGGCCCTGTCCACATTATGGAGAGGCTTCCCACTCTATTAATCTAATCTAGAAACTCTCTCATGGATCTGCCCAGAGGTTTATCGCCTAACTGATACCCATCATTGCAACAGCCCCACTCACTGAAATTTCACTTGCTGAAATTATTTTATGCAGCAATTCTACCATCAAACTCTCTATTATGTATCTTCACATAAACCTTGAATTTGGCACATCTACAGGGGGCTGAGGAGATGGCTCAGTGGATGAAGAGCTTGTCATAAAGTGTGGAGGACACAAGTCCAGAGCCCCAGAAATCGTAAAGTTTAGGGCACTGTAGCAGCCCATCTGTAATCCCAGCACTTGGGAAGCAGAGACAGGGAGTCCGGGGACAAGATTCTGGAGAGGTCAGGGTTCAGTGAGAGACTATGCCTCAGGGAATAAAGTGAGGGGGATTATATCAGTTGATATGGGAAAACCCACCTTAATTTCGGGTAGGACCTGAGCTGTGTCATTTGAGAAGTCATGCTGAACACTCGCATGTGTGCGTTCAGCCCTCTCTCTGTCTTGCGGGTCTGTAGCTGTTTGAGCTCCTGCTGCTTGCCGCAGTGCGTGGGCTAAATAGTTCCTTTCTTCCTTAAGTTTCTTTCGCCCAGATATTTCATCATAAGAACACACTGGCACCTCCCCCATCCTCTTTCCTTGTCTTAGGCGCCAATTCCCTGGTCCCTGTGTTTTCCATTCTGCAGATTATTAATCTTAAAAGAATGGTAGAGTCACAGACTAATTGTGCTTTGGGGTTGTCACCTGCAAATACTACTGACATTACTAGGAGGCACAGTCCCACGGCGAACTCCCCGGTCTTCCGGCTCGTACACTCTTTCTACCGCCTCTTCCACAATGATCTTTTAGCCAAAGGTGCAGGAGTTTTATTGTAGCTGCATCCTTGGGGCTGGGCTCTACAACTCTGAATTCTGATTGGCTGTGGTTTTCTGTAATAGTCCCCATCTGTTGCAAAGAGAAGTCTCCTTGTTACAGGTTGTATGCACACAAACACACACACACATACACACACACACACACATCCGTATATAACAAATATTAATGAAAAAGAGCCCTTGAATTAAAAACAAAAACCAGGAAGGTGATATGGGAGGGTGTGGAGGGAAGAAAAGGAAGAAGAATGATGTAATTATATTATAATCTCAAAAAAATTAAAAATTAAGAAAAAAAAAAGTACTCCCTGTACCCCATAACCTGTGTGAAAATGTCAGGCCCGGTAACATAATGCTTATAATCTCAGTGAGAGACCCTGTCTCAAAGGGAAAAAAACAAGAAGCTGGTTGCAACCTGAGAAATGATAATCAAGGTTAGCCTCCGGCCTTTACATGCACATGAACACATGTGCCCACACGCCAACGTACAAACACATACACAAAAGTGAGAGAGGAGAAAAGCTGTGCTCACTCTTTTTATGGCAAGCTGCCTTCTGGTATGAGCTAATCCATCCCAGCCAGAGCTGAGGCCTCTGCGAGATTCACTTCCAGGAGACTAAGCCATCTTTAAGGGTGGGGTACCCATGACCTAGCCACCAGGCATCATGTCTTCAAGGTTCTGCCACCTCAAAACCTCCACATTGGGACCAAGCTCCCCGCTACTGGACCTTACAGGAACAAACCGCACATAATACCTAGCAAGAGGGCTGTGTGCTTGGCACATATGGAAAAAGAGAAGAGCTCACTAAGGCAGGACACAGAGGAGCCGGAGCAGTCTCTGACGAGCCTTGACCATCCCAGCAAGGAGCCCAGGCTTTCCCCAGAATTCAACTTGTGATCAGGGTACAGTGTCATGGGTGGGCTTGCTCATTATTTGGGAAGACAAGGTAGGAGACATTGGCAGCCTAGGCTCTCTGGAGAGTGCATCTGGGAGCCCCCAATTCTGCTTGGCTTCATGTCTCTCTTTGGCATGTGTCATTAACACCCTTTTGACCGATCCAGGTCCCTGGACTGGACTACATTTACCAAGAAGCCAGGAAACGCTCTTCCTGGCTGTGGTATCTCTCCCTTTGTTAACATACCTTCCTAATCACAGGTCAGTCAAGGAGAGCCAGCAGAGCTGAGACATCTGACTCTGTCAGCCAGGGTGCCCATGTAACTCCTCACGGATCCTCGTGGTAAGTTTACTGGGAGTGGACTGTTAATATTCCCCCTTGGTAGATAGAGAAAGCTGGGCTCAGGGAGGGGACATGACTCCCCTCAGGTAAGTTCACAGATATGAGTGGTGCAGCCTGGAAGAGCCTCTGCTGAGTTCCCGGTCATTCCAGAGGGGATCCTGAACCTACACCCTCCCTCGATTTCTACTGCTGTAGAAGCAGCAGAGAACTCGTTCGTTTTTTTTCTCTGCCAATCAGCCGGAGCCACCTGGGTGCCTGTGAACTGTGGCGTTGCTGCTGTAATGGCTGCCCCTCCTGGATATCCATCAGTTAGGAAAGACAAGGCTGCGGTGGCCTCCTGCAGCATGTAACCCCATCTGACCCCTTGCTCACCGCACCGGTGACTCAGACACCTGTTGTTCTGAAAATCCTCCTTTGAGCTTCTGTGTATGGGTGTTGGGCCCGATTTCCTGTTAACGTGTGGCTCTTACTTTTCTCTGCACAGGGATTAAGTGGCTGAGTTGACAGCAAAAGTAGATCTAGAAGTCCCTGCAATTGGTCAAATGGTCTTGCTAGTATGATGCTTTCCTTTGATAAGGCAACGTCATAGTATAATCATGCCATGAAGGTTGATGCAGCCTGATGGGAAGACGGTAAGAGTAGAAGTCTGGAGAGCAGCTTCCTTCCGACAATTCAGGCTTGTGCTGGTGATTGAGTTATAATCCTCACACTATAAAACCCCTCCGGAAAGGGTGTCCAACGGCTTTTCGTGTATTCACAGAGTTGTCCAGCTGTCGCCTTATCTCATGCCAGGACATTTTGATCACCCCCATAAAACCATGCTGTCCCATGTGCAGCCCCTTCCTGGGCCTTTTCCTGTGTGCTGACACCATCTGGACTTGGTTGTTTCTCCTCACACCTCTCTCTCCTCCCCCAGTCACCCAGCTGTCACTAGCAGGTCACCAGAGATGGCGTGGCTGAGCCCAAGCTCACAGTTACGTCACTGACCACGACAGTGCCACAAGGCCTCACCTCTGACACTGGAGGAGCCCCATCCTCCTGTCTCATGCCCACAGTGAACAGGAGCCTGAACTGAAGAGAACAGAAAGCCCCAAGTGTGACCTTCCCCCACAGCTATCATGGCCACATCAGCAAATGGCCTCTCTAGAAAACCTAAGTCAGATCGAATCATTAGGGGCGTGGAACCCCAGGACAAAAGCACGGTCTCCTGCCTCCTCTGGAGGCTGTGCTGACTTCAATAGGCCCAAGTGTGTTAGACTCCTTTACAGCTGCTACTCCTTTCAGCATGGCTGCCAAAGTAACCAGGGGTGTCTTCAGCCTCAGGTAGGGGCCCTCAGGACCCACTAGAAAATTTTCAGGGCAATGCCTCTCGTAACGACACATAAGTCCTGTTTGACATAGGGAATGCATTCGTTAGCCATAGGGGAGGCCCTTGCTGCTTTGCTGAGTAAGGTAGACGAAGTGTACAATATTTTGTTCGATCATGCACTGCATATCTATCAGTGGATCTCTAAGAGAAAGTGTGTGTGTGTGTGTGTGTGTGTGAGAGAGAGAGAGAGAGAGAAAGAGTAGTTATCTTTGTGTAAGTATATATACTATGAAATCACCCAGTGATGCATTTCTTTTGCTTTGTTTTGTTCTTTAAGATAGGGTTTCTCTGTGCAGCCTTCGCTGTCCTGGACTCACTTTGTAGCCCAGGTTAGCCTTGAACTCACAGAGATCCACCTGCCACTGCTTCCCCGAGTGTTGGGATTACAGGTGTGCATCACTGAGCCACGCTTGCATTTCTTATAGTATGTTCCCATTGCTAAGCCACACACAGCTGGATTTGTACCCAGAGATGAGTTATCCAAATCAGTAAAAGAAAGGCTTTGAACCATGATAGATGACCTTGCTGCTCTCTGCTCTGGGAGGCTGTTTCTTAAAAAAATGTCACCACTTGAGCCAGAGAGATAGCTCAGTGGTTAAGAGCACTGCTTCCAGAGAACCTTGGTTCAATTTCGAGAAGCCACATGGTGTCTCATAACCATTTATAATTCAAGTGTCAGGGGATCTGACTCCCTTTTCTGGCCTCTACGGCACCAGGTATGCGTGAAATATGCTTATATACATATGCAGAAAATAAGTAAGTAAGTAAATAAATAAATAAACAAACAAACAAACAAATAAATAAATAAAACACTTGTACATATAAAATAAAGCATAAATAAAAATTTAGGAAGTAGAAATACCCCACCAATTAAGACTACATTTCACTCATCCAGAGGACCTGGGTTTGGTTCCCAGCATCCACATGGTGGCTCACAACTGCCTAGAATTCCAGTTTCTGGGGGATCTGCTGCCCTCTTTTGGCCCCTGTGGGCACTGCGTGCACATTGTATGTAGACATACATGCAGGCAAAACATTCATACACATTAAAATAGAAATAGATATTTAAAAAAATTTTAACCAAATACATTTTACTTGAAAAATAAGGAAAGGGGACCCTAGTTGCTTATCCAATACAGAGCAGTGGACCCTGAAATCATATATACACAAGGAACACAGAACAGACTTAGCAAGTTGTATTTACATATTTATGCACATATGTGTGTGTGTATAACAATAATAAAAAAGAGATCATAAATTTAAGAGGAAATGAGGGGAGACACTGGAGGGGCTGGAGGGAGAAAAGAGAAGGCAAGAATTAATATAATTACAGTTTGATGGAAAAAAAAAACTTAAGGGCCATCCTTCAAAGGGCCTCCCAACTGATATCCTGCTCAGCGTGTCTGTAGACTTCACCCACCCTCTATTAACCCCACACTGTACCTGACTATGTTCCAGCTTCGTGAGTCTACATTGACAACCAGCCTCGTGCACCCCTATGTTAGTATCAGCCATAGCCCCCAGGCACTCACAGCCGCCTCTATGACATACGCTTCAGCCACACATCTTCACAATAAACAAGATGCCACAGAGAATCCTGGCCTCTGTCCTGAATTTCCTTTCAGTGGCTCTTAATGGAGAATTAAGGCAATTTATAACACATCTCGGAAACAACTAGAATCCTTGTCTCTCAGCATCTGTAATCACCAAGGTGATCCAAAATCGCAATGAGAAAGTGAAGGCTATGTATAAAACTGGGTCAGGATCTCTTAATGGTATTGATTCAGCAGAGAATCTAGGTCAATAATATTTTGGCGTGACCTACATTGAGGCAGAGCCTTTCATTACACATGGAGCTTGGAGCAAAGGTGATTTTCCTGGCTTCTACATGAAGGCTTTTTTTTCCTCATTCCAGCCAAAGGGCAGAAATGCACCTTTATAATTAGGTCCACCAACTTTAAACATAACAGGTTGGATGACCTACTTGGCCCTGGGTTTCATTGGCTGCAACTTGCTGCAGCACACCTGAGTTATTGGTTAAGGGTTGGTATATAGCCTGGGGTTTTCAGGATAGAGGCTCTTTATTTTCCTCCTTTACCTGAACAAAGAACAATAATCAGAGTGTATTTAGCACCTGAAGAATGAGGCTCAGCAAACTTGTCTTGATGGCTCTGACGTCAAACACGGTCAGGCATCGGTTTGGTCTCATAGGTGCTTTCACACGCACTTGGGGTTCATTCCTGAACCTCTTGATCATCAGCCCTACAGAGACACAAGGGAGTCTGCAAGCCCAGAAAGTATATCTACTCCTCGGGCAAACTTGAAAAAAAATCATCTATGCCTGTGAAAATACATGCACGCCGAAGAATGCTTTGTACTATTAGTCTTAAGCGGCCACGGTGCTGATGGGAGTGGGTGATGGGAAATGGGGCAGAAATTTGCTCTCTTGGTAGAAATGCTTTCAAGGGTCCCTTTCAAGCTCCAAAATTCTGATTTTTTTTTTTGTTACCAACCCTCACAGACCACTCAATCACCTGAAAGTTACAGCATGCACACAATATGTGAGTGGGACACTCACTAGATCCCAGCACCATGCAAAATCCGTTGCATAGACCACCTCATTGCCTCCTCATTGCCACGCTAGGGGCTCATGCTGCCAGATTATACAGGAAGCCAAAGTTTAAGGAAGTTGAATAGCTAGGCCACGTGGCTTTCAAGGTGAAATCAGGACACACAGCCTGCAAGTCTCTAGCAATGTACGGGAGGAGCTGGTGTGCTTTTTCTCATCGCCCAACAAAAAGATGAAGATAGTGTTGCAAAAAGGAAAAAGAAATAAGCATATTCTGGAGACAAGAAACTGCTTCTATCTACTCTGATGAACAATGATTTGCAACCTTAAATAAGAGAGGGCAGTACAAATATTGACTTTTCCTGAATCACTGGTAGCATAGGCAAACCGTTTAAAATGCACACATCCTTGGGAAAATTAAGATATGGTCTCCTCCCATCCCAGCAGTGTTAGAAAGGTAGTGAAGCCAGGGGTTAGAAAGGACCTCCCTCATCCTTCCCAGCTTGCTTTCCTTCTGTGGATTACTGGTCAGCAACTGCTCCCATCACCTGTCAACCTAAGTCCCCTCTCTGGTCCACACTGTGGAGCTGAGCTGATTCCCTTCTCTCTCATTAGTCCACCCTGTTCCTGGTCCCTTAGGCCACGTAGACTTGCCTCTGTGTTATACCCTGCTGATCCATAGCAGAAAGCCTAGCCTGTGAGCTACTCTGCGAGGCTCAGAATGGAAAATCATTTGAACTCACCGAATCCGGCACAGTGCGTTAATGGGAATAGCTTCTAGCATTCATGCATCCTGACCAATAGGTAGATAGTGAGACTTGGACACACTTCCTTCCCCTGAAATCTGAGGTAGCTCCCACCCAGACATAAAAGAACATTCCAAGACTAGCTTCAAACTCATGATCCTCCTGTTCTCTCTTCTGTAGGCTTATATTTTTTTAAAATCTATTTTATTAGGGTTCTTATTCCTCTACCTCCCTTCTCTACCTCTATCTCTTCTAACACCCCAACACCAGAAAGAAGGTTAGTGGGGAGAGGGGACATAGTTCTCTTTAGCTACTTCCTGCTGGTTAAGAACGTTGGGTTCCTTGGGGGCAAGGACAATCTTTGTTTCAGGATATCTCCAACTTCAGCTTCTTCAACAGCAACAACCAGGAGCATTCAGGAGCAGCAGTGGAAGGAAAAGCAGCCACCTTCTTCCTTTGAGCTGAACCACCGTTCCCCCCGCCCCCCACTCTGGGCTCTGGCATTTATTCCTCCTGAGTTCCCAGAATTAAACCATCTGCAGCTGACAAAGATCATGCCCCTCTCAGAGCCCACACGAGGTAAGTAGTATGCTACTGTGGACAATCTAAAGCAGTTTCACATGCCACACCGGGGATTAAAACAGGAGCATGTTTCCATAACATATAACAGGGTTTTTAAAGAAACCAGGATTCTCACTGCACCTCTTCCGTTGCTCAGCCCTAAGAAGGACAGCATTGTCACTCCCACAAGGCTCAGGGAACATCAAGGAAGAGTCAGCAGGAGGGTGGGGAGGTGTGCTGCAAAATGCTGTCTTCTAGATGTGACAAGGGCATTCCAATTCTGAGTTCACAGGGTCAAGCCAGCCAAAACCCCAGCAAAGATTGGGGAGGGGAAGCTCACAAGGCCCCACCCCTACCTGAGGAGCTACTGGTATCATTTACTAGCTGCTGACAGATGGAGAATCATTCTTCTTTGAGGCTGTGGTCAGTGATAGATTGCCCATGCACATATGAACATCACTAACTGGACTGAGTGAGTTATAGTAAAAAAAAAAAAAAGAATAAGGAAACGCAAAGTTGGAAGGGAGATATATTGGAGTAGACTCAGGGTAAGATGGAAAGTGGACACAATCATATTACATACATGTATAAAATCATCAATCAACCAATAAATAAATCCAAGAAAAGGGCAACCCCATTGATACCCAGAAGGTGAGGAGTCGGCATTTAATTCACAGAGAAAGGTGTTATATCTGTTCCTCCTCCTGTGTCTTCTCCTTAGCATTACCCTCTCTCCATTCCTCTCTCTCTACAAAGGCCCCACTCCTCATCCTTTAGCTTCACCTCCTATGGGAGGGGCAGGTAATTATTTTTAATTACTCATTACTAATTCCTAATGCGTTAATTCTCCTTCCGAGAAATCAGGACATTACAGATAAGCAAATGGCTCTAGGGGTAACTATTAATCTGAATCCTGAGGCAAGGTTTAGAAACAGTTGCTGGACTGGTAAATGGAAAGTGTGGTCACCGATAGGGATTGCATAGAACAATCTCCTCTCTCATATTGCCCAAATCTCTCTCATAATCAGAAACAAGGCTGACAAAATTCCCAGGCTTCCTTTTCACCTGATTCTTTCCCTAGTTACCGCCCATCTCTCTTTCATCTCCCTTCACACACTCCTTCAAAAGTTTTCTCTGTATCCCCAGTTTCTGAAGCTGTATTATAACACAGTAAACTTCTGGGTGGTGCCTAATTTTGGGTCACCTTGATGCAAGGTAGAGTCATTTGGAAAGAGGGGACCTCAATTCAGAAAATGCCCCCCCCCCCCACCAGACTGGTGTATAGGCAAGTCTGTAGAGGCACTTTCTTGATTGATGAGTGACATATGGGAGGGCTTAGATCACTGTGGGCAGCACCACCGTGGATTTATACGATCCTGGAGGTTACAGGAAAGCAGGCTGAGCAAGCCATGAGGAACAAGCCAGTTAGCAGCGCTCCTCTGCATAAGCTCCTGCATTCAGGAGTCTGTCCTGTTTGAGTCTGCCCTGACTTCTCAGTGAGGGATTACTATCTGGAAATGAAAGATGAACTAAATCCTTTCCTTCCCAGGTTGCCTCTGGTCATGGCGTTTTACCACCACAATAGGAAGCAGAACTGAGACAGTAGGGTTGGTTCTAGTGACAAAGAACATACACCAGAGGCTGGAGAGGTGTCTCAGTAGTTAAAAATGTGAACTGCTCTTGCAGAGAACTCAAGTTCTTCAGGCAGCTAGCAACCACCTGGAACTCCAGCTCCGAGGGGATCCAATGGCCCTAGACTCCAATTACACCTGCCTTCACATGCACGTGGCCACACACAGATACACACACACCTACACATAGTTTTAAATGAATACATCTTAGCTACTTAGTGGTGGTTCATGATTTAATCCCAGCACTCAGGAAGCAGAGGCAAGTAGAGCTCTGTAAGTTCAAGGGCAGCCTGGTCTACAGAGCTAGTTGCAAGACAGCCAGGCCTACACAAAGAAATCCTGTCTTGAAGAAAGAAATAGCAATAACAGCAACAACAAAAAAATCAATAGATTTGAAAAAGAGCTCACATTTAAGACAAGAGTTTTAAGAAATAAAGCAAATCAGCAAAGCACGGTGGCCCGCACCTATCTTAGCCTTGGGAATACTGAAGCAAGAAGATTGAGGCCAACCTGGGCTACACAGTGAGTCCAGGGTACCCTAGGATACAGAGTAAAACCTTGTCTCAAGGTGATAGACAGACAGATAGAAAGATGATAATGATAAATGGATAAGTAGATAGAGATAGATAGGTAGGTAGGTAGATAGATAGATAGATAGATAGATGATAATGATAGATAAATAGATAGATAATGGATAGATAAATTGATAGGTGATAGATAATGATAGATTAGATAGACAGACAGGCAGACTACAGACAGACAGACAGATAATAGAATTCCCAAGTTTCCTTCTGCTAACCCTAGGCCCACAGTGCTGGGATTGAGGGTGAAGAAGCCAGAAGGTACAGGCACAATTGTACCCTTCAGCTGTGTGCTCGGCCAGCCAGGAAGAAGGCCCTGAAGGGATGGGGCAAGACTTCCAGGTAGGAGCCATTAGCATTTGCATCCGGAGTTCCCAGCACTGGCAATGCTCCAGGGGCATTTAGCACAGCTGGAAGGCAGAGCATTGCTAAGTCAAGGTCTTCCTCTGTCCGGAGCTTATCTGGGTGTAACTGGCTATTACCAGCAGTGCAGGGCAGACTCCCATCTCTGCTTCACCCAGGTCAATCAGTCATACTTAATGTTCTCTCTTACATCATCCTCTAACATCTAATAAAAGTGTTTGTAATGTTAAGCCTAAGATCTGTCTCATTTACTACTCACTCTGGTGATCCTACAAAAGGAGTGTAATTACATGAGCTATTAATCCAATAAGTCCCCAGACGGAACAGGAAGGCCCAAATTTCTTCTCTGCTGGTTGATAAAATTTAGCACGTACTACACATCCTTCTCCAGAGTTCAACTGTCATGTTCACCACAATCCTCACTGTAAAAGGAGGATTTTACTTTGCTATGTAGTTTTAGTCCAGTGTTAACACTACATGAGTTTACCTACTATACATTCTCATTGTGCTTTGATATTTCATAGAGTAAGTGTCCCTTTATTTCTACTTTTTGATTAAATATATTTCGGCAACACCTTTTTATCTTCCATGTGAACTTCCATGCGTAGCTTTTTTTTTTTTTAATCAGAGCACCTTTAAAATATTTGTTTATTTGTATTTAATATGTAGGACCATCTGCCAGCATGTATGTAAAAAACTGTGTGGGTACTGGCATACGAACAGAATGGTGGATCAATCGAATCGAACAGAAGACCCAGAAATAAACCCACACACCTATGGATACTTGATTTTTTACAAAGAAGCCAAAACCATACAATGGAAAAAAGAAAGCATCTTCAACAAATGCTAGTCTAACTGGATGTCTACATGCAGAAAAATGCAAATAGATCCATATTATCACCTGCACAAAACTAAAGTCCAAGTGGGTCAAAGACCTCAACATAAAATCTGACACATTAAATTGGTTAGAATAAAAAGTGGGAAAGAACCTAGAACTCATTGGCACAGGAGATAACTTCCTGAACAGAACACCAACAGCACAGGCTCTAAGATCAACAATCAATAAGTGACACCTCATGAAACTGAAAAGCTTCTGTAAGGCAAAGGACACTGTCATCAGAACAAAACAACAGCCTACAGACTGGAAAAGGATCTTCACCAACCCTATATCTGACAGAGGACTAATATCCAAAATGTATGTATGAACATGTGTGAATGCAATGGCTGCAGAGGCCAAAAGATGATGTTGGACTTCCTAGAACTGGAGTTACAGGCAGTTGTGAGCAACCACATGAGTGCCGGGAAACAAGCCTGTGAACAGCCTGAGCTACTGACCACTGAACCTGGATCACCTTTTAGAATCAGCATAAAGGAAGATCAAATCGGTGAAAATGAGCTAGGTTTTATGATATTCCAATATTGGAAATAACTGAATAGCCATACCAAAAAAAAAAAAAAAAAAACCCACAAAGTTAGATCTGTTAGACTCACAATTTGTCTCGGTACTTCTAACGTAGACAAGCGATAAATGAGATACAAACCATACAGCTACTTAAAGAAAGCACTTCAGTAATGTTCCTTTATTCAGTACTGAATGAAAGTTCCCCTCAACTTGATATCCAGACACTGAAAAGGCTGACTATATGAATAAGAACGTGTGTGTGTGTGTGTGTGTGTGTGTGTGTGTGTGTGTGTGTGTGTTCAGGCCGTCATATTTGTGCAGCAGCTACTTTACCAACTGAACCATCTCCCCAGACTCTTTATGAAAAAGAATTTCAATGAAAAAAAGAGACTCACGAAAGCTATAACAAGGGAAAAATTGGCAAGTAAGTAGTTACTACTACTCTTAACACACACAGGGTCCTAAAAATAGGCAAATATAAACAGCCCTATAGAAAATAGGTAAAGCATGATAATAAGATGCAATTTAAAACTTTTGTTAATGCGTTTGGAATAACAAGAAACCAAGAATTGCTAAAACAATCCTCTACAATAAAAGATCTTCTGGAGGTATCTCCATCCCTGATCTTAAGCTGTACTATAGAGCAACACTTATAAAGACTGCATGGTACTGGCATAGAAACAGAATGGTGGATCAATGGAACCGAACAGAAGACCCAGAAATAAACCCACACACTTCTGGACACCTGATTTTTGACAAAGATGCCAAAACCATACAGTGGAAAAAAGACAGCATCTTCAACAAATGGTGCTGGTCCAATTAGATGTCTACATGTAGAAAAATGAAAATAGATCCATACTTATCACCCTACACAAAACTGAAATCCAAGTGGGTCAAAGACCTCAACATAAAACCAGACACATTAAATCGGCTAGAAAAAAAAGTGGGGAATACCCTAGAACTCATTGGCACAGGGGACAACTTCCTGAACAGAACACCAACAGCACAGGCTCTAAGATCAACAATCAATAAATGGGACCTCATGAAACTGAAAAGCTTCTGTAAATCAAAGGACACCGTTATCAAAAGAAAACGACTGCCTACAGATTGGGAAAGAATCTTCACTAACCCTTTATCTGACAGAGGGCTAATATCCAGTATATATAAAGAACCAAAGAAGCTGAAAAGCAGCAAATCAAGTAATCCACTTAAAAAATGGGGAACAGAGCTAAACAGAGAATTCTCTGTAGAGGAATATCGAATGGCAGAGAAACACTTGAAGAAATGCTCATCCTCATTAGCCATTAGGAAAATGCAAATCAAAACAACCCTGAGATTTCACCTTACACCCATCAGAATGGCCAAGATAAAAAACTCAAGTGACAATACATGTTGGAGAGGTTGTAGAGAAAGGGGAACCCTCCTCCACTGCTGGTGGGAATGTATACTTGTACAACCACTTTGGAAATCAATTTGGCGCTTTCTCAGACAACTAGGAATAGCGCTTCCTCAAGATCCAGCCATACCACTCCTAGGCATATATCCAAAAGAGGCCCAAGTACACAATAAGGACATTTGCTCAACCATGTTTGTAGCAGCCTTATTTGTAATAGCCAGAAGCTGGAAATAGCCCAGATGCCCCTCAACTGAAGAGTGGATGCAGAAATTGTGGTACATCTATACAATGGAGTATTACTCTGCAATGAAAAATAAGGAAATCATGAAATTTGCAGGTAAAAGTGGGACCTGGAAAGGATCACCCTGAGTGAGCTGTCCCAGAAGCAGAAAGACACACACGGTATATACTCACTCATATAGACTTATAGGATAAACCTAAAAGCTGCCCATTTAAAGAAACTAATCAAGAGAGAGGACTCTGACTAAAATGCTCAATCACCATCCCAAAAAGCAAAGAGGATGGACATCAGAAGAAGAAAGTAGGAAACAACCTAGGAACCTGCCACAGAGGGCCTCTGAAAGGCTCTGCCCTGCAGACTATCAAAGAAGCTGAGACTTTATGACCAACTGTTGGGCAGAGTGCATGGAATCTTATGTAAGAAGTGGGAAATAGTAGGTTATGGGGAGGACAGGAACCCCACAAGGAGAGCAACAGAACTAGAAGATTTGAACACAGGGGTCTTCTCAGAGACCCATACTCCAACCAAGTACCAAGTACCAGGCATGGAGATAACCTAGAACCCCTGCACAGATGTAATCCATGGCAGTTTAGTGTCTAAGTGGGCTACATAGTAATGGGAAGAGGGACTGCTTCTGACACAATCTGATAGGCCTGCTCTTGGATCACCTCCCCCTGAGGGGAAAGCAGTCTTACCAGGCCACAGAAGATGACAATGCAGCCACTCCTAATGTGATCTGATAGACTAAGATCAGAAGGAAGGAGAGGAGGACCTCCCCTATCAGTGGACTTGGGGAGGGGCATGCGTGAAGAAGGGAGAGGGAGGGTGGGACTGGGAAGGGAGAAGGGAGGGGCTTATGGGGGGATACAAAGTGAATAAAGTATAAATAATAATAATAATTATATATATATATATATATATATATATATTTAAAAAAAACTTTCATTAAGCACTGGCTCCCCAAATCCAGCCGTCTGCTGATGACATAAACCCAAATTCATCAATTAGTTGCCAAGGAAGAACACCAGATGGAGATGGAGCTCAATGGTAGAGCAGTGCCTAACAGCCAGGAGGTCCTGGATGTCGGCACGTACCCACCATCCCAGCACTGGTGAGGCTGGGGACAGATCTGTAAGATACAGCTCGCATTGCCAGGTATACGGTGGCCCCATAGAAGGACTTGCTTCCACATTGGTTCTGCTTCAGTCGGTGAAGAGTGTAACCAGGAAGACTCCACAGTGCCCAGCTCACCTCACCAGAGAGTTGGTCCTCTAGAAGTCAAATGAGGGCCATAAAATGGACGGTAAGACTATCGGTTCAGAATAGGGAACCTTCAGAGAAATTGGGAGCAAAAGGCTGATAAGCATCAAAGCAAGCAGGAGAGCAAGGGTTTCTTTGCTTTTTAGATAATATAGCTTATTAAAAAAATAATAACGGGAGTAAATTCCTCATTATGGTGTTTTCATACAGAATATAAGATTTTCACAAAAGGATTATTAATGTTAAGCAAGAAATGTGTGCCTTTTTTGTTATTAGAACTGTGTCTATTTTACTAACCTTTAAAGAAAACCAACAAAATCCAGCTCTTGTCCTGAGTGTTTATGGTGACTAGTGAGAATGCTCCCCCCTCCACCGCCCCCATAGGCTCATATATTTGAGCCTTGGTTCCTATTGGGTGGAACTATTGGAAAGATTGAGAGGTGTGGCCTCTTGGAGGAGGTGTGTCATCATGGAGGACAAGCTTTGAGATTCAAAAGCCCACACCATTTCCACTCTCTGCTTCCTGCTTGTGGATCAAGATGTAAGCTCCTGGATACTGATCCAGTGCCATGCCGGCCTGCTTGCTGCCATGCTCCCCACCATGGTGATCATGGATTCACCTTCTAAAGCCTTAAGCCTCATTAAACCCTGTCTTGTATAAGTTGCCTTGGTCATGATGAACAGCAACAAAGGACAATGCCAGGTAGATCTTGTTTTCTCTCTCATGAACCACTTTCCATTGCTTCCTGCCATTTACTCTCTATTTTCTTTCTTTCTCTCTTCCTATTTATTTATTTACTTTTGAAACAGGGTTTCTCACTGCAGCCTTGGCTGTCCTGGAACTTGCTCTGTAGACCAGGCTGACTTTGAACTCATAGAGACCTGCTTACCTCTGCCACCTGAGTGCTGGGATTAAAGGTGTGTATACCACACCAGCTACTGTTTCTTTCTTCTTTTTTTTTTCAAATATTTTATTTATTATGTGTACTATGTTCTGTCTGCATGTACACCTGCGGGCCAGAAGAAGACACCAGATAGTACAGATGGTTGTGAGCCACCATGTGGTTGCTGGGAATTGAACTCAGGACCTCTGGAAGAGCAACCAGTGCTCTTAACCTCTGAGCCATCTCTCCAGCCCTACTGTTTCCTTTTTAAAACAACTTCTTTACGTGTCTAGTCCTTCCTTGGCTCTAGTGACCACAATTCTCTCTCTGTGTGTATGTGTGTGTGTCTGTCTGTCTCTTCCTACTCCCTCCATCTCTGTATCTTGTGAATCTAGGGTCTCTCACAGAGCAATGGTTTCTTGAACTCAGAGTTGCTCTTGCTGACCTTTTTGAACCAAGAAAGTCTCCAGAAAACGCTACCCTTCAAGAGGCCTCGAGGCTGAACCACCTGGGTCTAACAACTAGAAGTCAGTCCATTCGTCCATTCATTGTACATTCTACAAATGTCCTTTGAAACTTTTTTCTGTGCCATGCACAGAGTTGAACATAAGAAAAAAGGAGAGATACAGGCTCTCAGCACAATATTTTAGGGGCCAAAAATACAATATATACAAATAGCTGTGCTAACAAAATAGGGGGCACAAAAAGGTACCTACAAAATAGGAGCATGGAAGCATTGTGGCAGAAGAGTGTGAGGTTGGTAGACGGTCAGACAGAGCTCCACCTACACAGCTTTGACTGTGAGCCAGATAGCTAGTCAGCAAGGGACCTGGGGCGGCTGTATCTAGCCGTCTACTCCCCAAGACTCAGGGCATTAGGGAGAACTTCCCACTCCCCTCATTAGCTAACACAGTTAGCTCACAACAGACTTGTGAGGAGCAGGCTGAGGTCCTCCCTCCTCATTTTGTCTCAGCAGGAACCAAACATCTGTGGCTGCACCTCTACATGGGCCCTGTGATGTCCCGAGTGGCCAGTTCTGGCCTGGGTGTTTGTTCCCTCTGCAGACTTGAGCCCTGTAGCAATCACTAGGAGACTTTGGGGATTTTCCTCTGAGCTGAAAACACTTCAGTATTGCCTAGTTGCAGCGCTTGCCAGGTCTCAAAGTCTCGATCCATCTATAAATGAGGTCCGGCCAGAGAGCTGCAATGAACTCCTGCTCTCCTAAGCTAACAAAAACATGCTTATCTCCCAGCCAAAAAGAAAAGGGGGAAAAGTCCCTATTATCATCCAACTGCGTTAACTTCCTTTTTTTTTTTTCAGCCTGCTACTGTTTCTTCTTCATTGTGTCCTGGTTTCCCAGCAGCTGTCAACATCCTCTGAAAACTTGAGCAGCAGGGCCGAGCACGCATTGCCCAGGTGTATGCCAAGCTCAAAGCATGAGAGGGCACAGGAAGAGGGCATAGCCGGAATCCACTGCTGCCCAAGAGCCAGAGGCATTTATGTGACTGGCCTGGGGAGCTAGCTCATGGCCTTCTCTAAATAAACACTTCAGACCTTGGATGGGGTCCTTGCAAACCCACGTTTCAGAATTTGCAGAGGAAGCTGCTTGGTGTAAGCTGCTGTGTTTCATAACCTGCTAGGAGCGGGTCTCGTCTTTCTTTCAAGACGAGGAAGCCAAGGCTCAAAAACTTTGAGTGGCTTTTACAATATCGGCCAGCAAAGTCTCAGACTTCTGGCTAAATCCCATGTGTTGGCCCTAGACCTGACATCACATAAAATAGAAGCAGTGCTGAGAAGCCTCAGTGTGGACGTAGGCACATGGATGTCCACCTGTTTGCGCCTACACACTGCTATCATGGTACCACAGTGCTTGCTGCACTGTGGGTCTCATCTGGGCATAGAGATCACCTTAAACTTGGACTTTGTGTTTGTGTGTGTGCCTATATGTGCATGTACGTGTCTACTCATGCGTGCGTGCAGAGGTCAGAGGTTGACTTTAGAGGTTGTCTTCATCTTATATTTTGAGACAGGGTCTCTCACTAAGCCTGAAGCTCACCAATTTGGCTGGACTGGCTGGCCAGTGAGTTCCAGCTTTCCAGTGTCTCTACCTCCCCAGCACTAGGACTGTAGGCACAGGTCCCTGGGCCTGTGTTTTACACGGATGCCAGATACCCAGATTCAAGGCCTCGTGCTTGCACAGCGACGACTATACTGACTGAGCCATATCCCAAGCGTTGGACTTTCTTAAGTGCTGGAGATGAATCTAAGGACTCATATATGCAGAGTACACATTCTGACCTCTGAGCTCTACCCCAACACACTACCCTTTTTTTATGAATGAGTTGACAGCATTTATCACACAGAACAAGCATGTTTGTGTGTCTGCTCCTACTGCCAGTTGTGACCTATGCTGGGAACTCTTTGAAGAGCTCCTAGCCCACCATTAAACACCTCTTTTGTTTGCTTTGAATAATGAGCAGGAAAGACCTGAAGATAAACTGCCATTTCTGTCACTCCGGTCATTGTATTATGCTGATGTCAATCATTTCATGACTCCCTGGGTCAGCTCTGATAGGACCAGGGTGCACAGAATGGATTAGCCAGAGGCACCGTGAGGCCTGACCGTGCCATAGGGGGCTCAGGTGCTATGACATGGAGGCCATCTTGAGAGATATGGTCCAACCAATGTCTTGGAGTGAGGAGGAAGGGGAGGCTCAAACTAACACAAAGGTAGGGCTGATGGCCAGTGCTAAGCAGATAGGCATGTGACAGTCATGGCCTGGAAGGCCATGTGCTGGGTGGCCTTCCCCCACTCATTACATCCCAACGAGGACAACAGACTCTTCTCTTGGCCCTTTTTCTGTGCATTATCCCAGTATCTCTGCATCTTCCCACTCCAGCTTTAAGATCAGTGTGATTATGCAATGAAAACCATTAAGTTGTTAGTCTGGACAAGGTTGGAGAATAAAGACATGAGATTCTTATGCTCCCCCCCACACACACACATTTTGTGTAGCCCAAGCTGGTGTTGAACTCACTGTGTAGACAAGGATGACCTTGAACTTTGGACCTTCCTAACTCATGTGTACTTGGAATAAATATGTGTGTGTCCCATAATGCCTGGCGAGGGGCTGCGACCCGCATCTTGGAAGCTACACAGCCGGTCCACTTCATAATCTCTTTAATTGTTTGTGTGAGAATTTTTCCTATCCCTTCAGTGGCAGCAACAGATGAGCAAAGCACAAAACTACTTTTTAAGAAGTGTGTGAAAGTGTTCTGTGTGTAAGCGTTTGTGTGTTTGTGTATGTGCTATGTGTGTTTGTGTGTATGAGTGTGGGGGGGGGAGGTTTGTGTAGGCCAGGAGTCAACATCAGGTTTGTTCTTCAGTTGTTCTCTGTCTTATTTGTTTGAGGCAGAGTCTCTCTCAGAACCTGGAGCTCACTCACTGATCTGTCTAGACTGGTTGCTCAGCCGGCCCCAGGAAGGCTGTGTCTACCTTCCAGGCTCTGGGATAATAGAAACCTACTCCCTATGTTTTTACATAGCTTCTGAGAATTTAACCTCAGGAACTAACGTATGCATAACAAGCACACCCTAAAAACATCAGTGACCAAATCATACCTAGCTAGCTCTGGCTGGAGAACCTAGCCTAATTCATGAACTCCAGGTCCACACTGACAGACCCTGTCTCAAAAACCATGGTACAGAGGAGCTGAAGAGACACTCTAATGTTTTTCTCTTTTAGAGAGGGTTCAGTCCTCAGCACCCACCTAGTAGCTTACAACTCTCCTAAACCCCGGTACTGGGAGATCCAACACCTTTTTCTGGCCTCTGCAGGCCTCCCACTCACACAGCGCACATACATACACGCAGGCAAAACACTCAGACATATAAACTAAGAATAAATAAAATTTTTAAGAATAAATAAATTAAAAAATAAGTTAGCAAAGGATAGAAGATAACCAACATTGACCTCTGACCGCTGTACCCACGCCCTCACACATGTGTGCACATGGCAACCCTGCTATCCCCACACACGTACACACAAAGGTATTGTTTTCAAAATAGTAAAAAGAGGTAGAATCGTGATAGGATTATCAAAGTCCTTGGTAAAATAAAATTAAAAAAAAAAATCAATAGCAACCTGTGGCAACAGAGGCCTTTTTCTCTGGACAGAAAGAAACCTGGCAGCGGGTGCTCGTTATCAGGCTTTGGCCTTTTTCCTGTTAAAAACCCATGCCTCCCCTCCCGGTATGCGGGTCAACATTCGTGTTTATTCTCAGCACCGAATGTTAGTGGAAATGTAAATATCAGGAGCCGGTTCTGCTCCGTCTCTTACACGCTGCGCCCATGACGCTCCTTAGCTTTTTAACTTGACCTCTGGGGCCTCTAGTAGTCTCTGACACAAAGGACAACGACTAAACAACTCACAAAACGCGTTTAACACATCGGTGTCGTGTGCCAGGTGGAGGCAGGTTCAGCCATCCTCAGCTGGATAGTGAGTTTGAGGTCAGTCTGAAGCACAGGCCACTCTTTTGTCTGTCTTTTTTTTTTTTTTTTTTCCCCAGAGCTGAGGACCAAACCCAGGGCCTTGCGCTTTCTAGGCAAGCGCTCTACCACTGAGCTAAATCCCCAACCTCATGCCACTCTTTCTTAAAAAGCAAAAGTAAAGTTAAATGAAATTTTAAAAACAGCACACAATGCCAGTGCACAGCAGGCCCTCTTATCATTAGGGAGGTCAACTTTATTTTAATTTTTTTTTTTTTTTGTCCTTGAGTCTCTCTAAAAATGCTTTTCTTGAACACGGTGGTACACATGTGTGATCTCAGCACTGAGGAGGAGGAGGCTGGAGAATCCTGAGGTCAGGGTCAGCTTGGGCAACATGAAGAAATAAAACTAACTAGCTTTAACAACACTGTTCTATCCACTTCGTATGGGGACATCTGTTTTAGACAAGGGAACATGAGGTCTGAGAGTTCAGTGACCTACTAGTGACAAGCCAAGCCCCTTGAGCCCCAGCTAGGACCCTTTCCACATTGTCACACCAAACATAGATAGGGATTGTCTCTGTGAGATCACGGAAAGTGCAGCAAAAAACAACTCTGCGGCTTTAAAATGAGGCTACTTTGATCCCTGCGGTGAAACTCGGGCTCTTTCTTCTTAACTGTTTCAAGTAAGCTGTGAGCTTCTGAGCTTCAGTGTCTCTGGACCTTATGCCTTGAACCCGAGCCAACACCACGCTCCTTTCTGGCTGTGGTGGTTTGAATAAGGATGGTCCCCGCAGGCTCGTGTGATTGAGTGCTTGAGTGCTTGGGGAAGAAACGGTTTGGGAAGAGTAGGAGGTGTGGCCTTGTTGGAGAAGGTGTGTCACTGGGGTGAGAAAGACTTCAAGAGTTCAAAAGCTCACACCATTCCCAGAATGCCTATCTCTTCGCCTCCAGCTTGCTGGTCAAGACGTGTTCTCTCAGCGTGTTCTCAGCTGTTGCTGCCACCCTTTACTCTGCCATCATGGACTCCAACCTTCTGAAACCATACACCAACGAAATGCTTTGTTTTACAGGTTGCCTTAGTCATGGTGTTTTGTCATAGCAATAAAAAAGAAACGAAGCCTTTGCCCCAGTTTTGGCCTGACATCAGGCTTTCCCTAGGACTCACACCCAATTTCTGCTTCCTTCAGCATCTGTCCCCTGGGTGCCCACCACTTCCTCTTCGTCCCTTCCTGCTAGTGAGGCCCTCATGGAGCTTCAGAGGGAAGGACACCACCACGTTCTCTGGCCTTTCCAGGAACAAAGGCAAACTCTCTAGTTCCCTTGGATCTCTGAATCTTTACATCTGATCAAGGTGAAAACATACCTTAGGCCTCGACTTAGACAGTTAAAGTGGAAGAACTCAGGAGTTGATGAGACAGACTGGAGGGTTGCGTCTCCAGAAGAGACAGAAGAGAGAAGTCACCGCTGGGGGTGCGTTGTGCCTGTAAAGGCAGGTGCTCAGGCCTGAGCAGTGGGCGGAGCCTGGAGGATAACCAGCCTTTCTATCCTGCCATGAAGGTCCATGGCAGGGGAAAACACGGACAACTCTGAAGTTTTTCTTGTGCCCCGTGATTTGGCCACATACTCCATCCTGCACAATTTCCCTCCCCAGGGAGGTCCAGACCCTACTTCAAGCTCCCTGGTGATTCCTATTTGCCATCCAGGAGACCAGAAGACTAACTTCTCATGTAGCAAACTGTCTAGAGAGAACATTTCCTAATCATTTTTTTCTAAGTCGGGGGAAATAATCCATGGCATACTAAAGAATGTGGCTGTGCTTGCTGGAGAGTGTTGAATCGCATGGTCTCTGCCCTTCAGTCTCACGGGGTGACGGACAAACAGATGCGGGGACTCTTAGCATAGTCACAATGCAATTAAAGTCAGCGCCAGCGGCACTAACAGAAACTCATAGGCTGAGCCTGCTTCCCAACCTAATCTGTGGAGGGGCTCCAGCAGGCTCAGCCTGGCTCCTAGTTCTAAGGTCACACCTTGAGCAGGCGCAAAGAATTTCAAGCCAGGCATCTACCAC